CGCAACCCCTCACCTGCTCCCTGGCCACACCTGGTGACAGTAGGATCTGACGGCTGGGGGCAGGTCAGAGCTCTGCGGGGTCAGGGCCAGCCGGAGACACAGGCCCACTGAGGCCCCTGCACGACTTGACCTTGGCCACTGGCAGCCCCGCGCGCTCAGCCCCTCTCACCACTGCCGTCGGGCCAGGTAGGGCTGCCCTGGGGCTTGACCCGATCGTGGGCGCCCAGCTGTCCTTCAGTCCTCAGGGCACTGTCAGAGCATGTCACCACCAGGGACAAAGGCTGCAGCCACCTCCATCTTTCTCTCCCTCCCTCTCCCCCACTTCCAGTGCCAGCACCAGGGCTCCCGCACAATCTGGGACAAGGTTTCCCCTCTCCTGACCTCGGGGGCTTCCACCGAGGGCCCCTCCAGAATGTGGACCCACTACCTCCCCACCCTGCCCAGGGGGACGGGGGCCCCAGCACTCGGCCCTGAGCCCGGGCGTGGACCGGTGGCGTCCGACCCGGCGGGGGCTTTGTGGGGGGTCCTTTCTAGGCCTCACCGTCAGAGGCTTTTGCTCGGCCCAGGACTTTCGTCCCTGTCCCCCAGCCTCTGCTGTCCCCCTCCCTTCCCCGTCCTTGCCTCCATACAACCCTCACCTCCGGCCCCCCCGCCCCGCCCCCGGACTGAAGAGGCAGCTGATGGCCGGCCGGGTGGGGGCAGGACAGGCTCTCCTCCCTCAGCCCACCGTCCTCCTGAGAGCAGCTGCAACCAGGCTTAAAGCCCCAGCGGGGCAGGACAGGCCTTCATGGAGAAGCCAGCTGCCCGAGACGGAGAGACCCACGGACGGACGCCAGGCCCCGCCAGACCGACAGCTTGCTCTTTTCATGTGGAAATACACTTTGAGGGGGAGACGCGGCCTTTGAGGTGGGAGGCTGTCAGAGGCAGCGGCCAGGAGGCCCTGCCCGGGCCAGCGCGCCCCCCGCGGCCGTGCGCTCTCTGGGGCGTCATCAGACCCGTCCTGCGCAGGAGTCACTGGAAGGCTGCTGGGGCAGCTGCCTCCTTTCCTTTTCTTTCTTTTCTTTTTTTTTTTTTTAAAGAAAGGAGCGATAGCTAGCTAAGATTTATATCCACTTTCTCTGTCCAAATCCAGCCTTCCTCCCATCAGTCCTGAGTAGAATGACACTGTTGAAGCCTTCGTGTCACAAACTGTCTTCTTTCGTGTTCCGTCCGCCCCACAGCACGCCAGCCCCAGTGGTCGCATCACGTGCGGAAGCTGGTTTGCCGGCAGGCCTGCCCTTCCTGCCCCTTGTCTTCCCCCGTGCCCTGAGTGATGGCAGTGACCTAGACAGACAAGGGTGTTCAGGGCCCCCGCCGCACGGCGACCCCGTTATCCTCGGCTGTGGACCCCGCGTTACATTCGTTCTTCGTGTGCTCAGGATGGAGATGGATGTTTACTGCTGTAAGACAGGCTTTGTCAGAGCACAGTCGTCGTCTGCAAAGCGGGAAGGATGCAAGGAAGATTACTGCTAATACTGGGAAAAAAGAGTGTAGCCCTCTCCTTTTAAGATGAACTTAAAAATAAAAACGGTCAGGAGTCGAGCAGGGTGGGGCTTCCCAGCAGCGCCTTCGGTCTCTGCGTGAAAGCCGCCGGCCACTTAGACGCTGCATCAAACCCAGGTCTGAGCAGGAGCAGTGGGGTTCTGGGTGGTCCTCTGGGTCCGTCCTCGGCAGCTACCCAGCCCTGGTGGCTCCTCAGGGGTTCCAGATGGCCACCGTTTCCCCGGAGGTTCCTCACCTTCAGCTGGCTGCTCCTGAGCGCTCACACTTCCTCAGGCCCTACCCAAGCCCCTCACAGCCAGCCCGCTTCAGATCCCCCAGGGGGACTGTGGCCACGCACAGAGCAGCACCCCAGCCAGACACACTGCCCCAGGTGTGATCGAGCAGAGGGAGAACAAGCTTGTGTCCCCATGTGCTGGGCCCCACTCTCCTGGTGATGCGGCCTCTAAACAAACCAGCTTTTTTTCCCGATGCCTGTTCCTTGTTCATTCGTGGTGAACCCACCCTGATTGATGTGCCACACGGCCCCTAAGCCCCTGAGGGGGATCTGGGTGCAGACTTGGCCTGCCCCGGCTCAGAGGCCGGCCTGGTGTGAGATGCCCAGTCTGTGGGTTGTGATCAGGGCCCAGAAGTCAATTCTTGGGACGCTTGTCCAGTGAGGGGCACCCGTGGGCAGTGGAGGGACAGCTCTGCCTTGACCTGTGCAGGTCTCACAGTGCACTGAGCCTCTGAGCTCAGAGGGAGCCTCAGAATCCTTCTTAACACCGGGCTCTAGGAAGCTACAACCACCTGGTGAGATCTAACCTTCCTGTGTAAAGTCCTTTCTGCTGCCACTCTACACTGGCCATCTGGGCACCCCTGTCCTCGCTCCCACAGCACTCGGCGGGGTGGGCAGCAGGACTGGAGCCAAGCCCCAGGCCCGATTCCGCCTTTCTCCCCGGATTCTCAAGTCTGGTCAAGAACAGGACTGGATGTCCACCTTAGGATAAGAATACTCCTGGTCCCTCGGAAAACGAAAACCCTGCAGAGTCAGGGTGACAGACGTCAGGGACTGGAGAGTGTCAGCTTGGCCGTGCCCCCTTCAGCAGGGTGGGGTTGGGATGACAGCAGGCAGGGTTTGGAGGGGGAGCTGGAGGACCAGGCAGGGTGCAGACACGTGGGCAGGACTGTATGGGACATGTGTGGGGGGCGCACCAGCTGGGTGAAGGGAGTGGGCACCATGGAGACCACTGTTGGGGACAGAGGGTGGGGAGAGTCATAGGGAGCACTGGATGAGGTGGGGGGGCCTGGTCCCAGGGCTGGTGCCCGTGTCTGGGGGCCCCGGGGGTGTCCTGAGGTCGAGGGAGGAGGCAGAGTGGAGGGAGGAGACGATGCACACCTGCCCCTAGGGTCCACCTGCCACCACACGCCTGCGTTCACCCAGTCCCTGCTCCACCGTACGCGCCCAGCCCGCCTCGTGCCTTCCCAGGACAAACACAGCCAGCCCTGCCCGGGGCACATGGGTGGGCAGAGGTGACAACAGGCTTGGGTCCTGAGAAGAGAAAATGAGCGGGGCTCCTTTGAGGACGGCCTGGGGGAAGGGCCTGGGGGCCAGAGGCGGCCTGAGGAGGGGTGAGAAGGTGAGGCCGAGTGCCTGGGCCAGCAAGTGGGCAGCGGCTCCACCGATGCTGGACAAAGGCGGAGGGGACCGAGGCCTGGTTGTAGAGGCTGGGACCCTGGTCCGTGCTGGAGGACGGGGTGGGGCAGGTGTGGGACGGCCAGATCATCAAAGTGCTGGAAAGGTCTGGCCCAGTGGAGGGCCAGGGGCCGAGCGCGTGCAGATGGGACGCAGACGGAGGGGCTGGGCTGGAGACTCCTGCACTCAGCGCCCTGAGTGGCTCTGCACCCACTTCTGCCTGAGGCTCCTGGTGCTGCGGAGTCAGAGACGGGGCTGTTCCGTCTGCGGCAGGTGCCTTGGGGAGGCCCACGTGCTGAGCGAGGGAAGCTTGACATCTCCAGAGCCCAGAGCCACCAGCCAACACACAGGAAGCTCCCAGAACTAGAGCAGGGCCGCCCCGACCCGACGTGCATGCCCAGAAGTGAGTGCGGGCCTCTCCCTCAGAACTCCATCTGATCTGCGGGAAGACGGCAGCCCGTTGAAGTTGCAGGGGCCCTGTGAGTTGGAACCCCAGAGTGTGGACCCCTAAGCACGGATCCCCCTCCCGAGAATGGACCCTTCCCAAGCCTGGGACCCCGAGTACAGACCCCCTGAGCAGGATGCCCCTGAGCATGGACCCCACTGAGCAAGACCCCTTTTGCTCAGGACCCCCTCACGTGGACTCTTTTGAGTGCACCTCTCTGAGCGAGGTCGCCCTGAGCCCGGGGCCTCATGGGACTGCGTGACCACAGGCCTGAGAGGCTGGCCCTGCCGGGACTCGGCTGCCACGCCTGGGCAATCGCGTGGATGGGAGAACAGGGCAGGGAGGTGCCTCGGGGCCGGAGGACACGCAGGTAAGGGGAGACAGAGCTGGGGTTGACCCCAGGCCCACGTGGACAGCCCCCGCTGGGGCTCTGAAAAGCTCCACTTGTTCCAGCTTGAGTCTGGATGCCCGGCCCCACACGGGGAGGCAAAGAGGTGGCTCAGCACACCAGCCTGGGTGTCCACCAGCAGGACTTCCAGCTACCTCCGCCCCCCGAAGGAAGCACCAAAGCACGTGCCCCTCGACCGCCCCTCCCTGACCCCCGCCCCCAGCACAGCTCTGCAGACACTGAGGGGCCGAGGGGCTCTGGAGGAAGAAAGTGGGCCGTGGCCTCCAGCATGGCCCTTCCAGATGCTGCAAACAGCTCCCATCTAAACTCCAGACAGACGGGGAGTGGGGCAGGGGCGGAGAGCAGGTGGGAGTGCCCAAGGAGAGCCCCCAGGTGGAAAGTCCTAGAAAGCCACCAGGGAAGATGGCCCCAGGCCCTCCCCACACACACATCATGAGAGCGTGAGTGGCCCGCACACAGCCCAGGAGAAGAGCTTTATTCTGGCCCTGTGGGTCTCACGGCCCCCAGCAGGCACCCGCCCCTGTGCCGCAGGTGAACCCAGTTCTAGGCACAACAGGTGTGCAGCCCCGTCCAGGGGTCCCTAGGGTTGGCCGTGCTCAGGCCCCAGTCCTCCTGCCCTCATCGCTGTCCCTTCTCTACCCCAGGGGTGGGGGTGTCACCTCCCCAAGCTCCACGCCTGGATTGTCCTGACCACATGGGACTCCTGAGAGTGCCCACAGCGCACAGTGAGGTCAGGGCTGATCCCGGGGCTCCTTGCTGCTGGTCGCGGGCTCCCCCGGTGGGCAGCACTTCCCGGGAGCCTGTGGCTCCTCTCCTAGGCCAGGGTCACACACAGAGACTCCTGGCTCTTACGGGCCTTGGCACTGGGGGGCGTGGCCAGCGCAGACGCCTCCTGGAACTCCTTGGCCATGTAGTAGTAGCAGACAGCGTCCAGGCAGCAGTTGGCGTACGAGAGTTTGCTAGTGACGTCGAGGGCGAGGCGGAGGGCGCAGGAGTGCAGGCCCGTGGCCACCTGCACAGTCAGCACCACGTGAAAGGGCAGGAAGCAGACCACGAACACCACCAGGTTCGCCCAGACCATGCGGGTGGCCTTCTGGGTGGACTCCACCTGGCCCGTGTCAGCCGCTGGCTTCGGGGCCAGGGCGGCCACCACCTGCAGGGAGCAGAAGACCAGCACGGCCAGCGGCAGGTAGAAGCCCAGCAGCGAGAAGACGGTGGTGTAGGAGCTCTGCCGGGAGCTGTTGGAGAAGCAGAAGCCGCCCTCCTGCCTCCCCAGGAACCAGCGAAGCACCAGGGAGCCGACCACCAGTGCCCAGAGCGCCGCGCACACGGCCACGGCCCGCCGCGGGGAGCGGAGCGCGCGGGCGC